AGAAAGTTGTGTTCCTCTTCGCATGATGATGTTCTCATTCCATGCCGGCCACTCTTCTCCACATGGCGAGGCCGTGAGAGAACCCAAGCCGAAACGGGCCAAGATCAGAATTGCCTGCAATGTATGCAAGGCCAGGAAAACCAAGTGCGACGGAGCTAGACCAAGTAAGAGAGACCAATAACATTCCTTGTCACACGTGGTGGAGAACTAAATTAGGCTTATCGTGCATTAGTCTGCGGTCCCTGTTTGAGACGGAAACGAACCTCGTATACCACAGCCTGTGAATACCGTGAGGGTGATATCAGTGAGCAGTCAAGCCGCAGAACTGAGCAACTACCGGAAGACTACCCACAAGCCAATAATAATGATGATGCTGCCAGCAGCTTCAGTGAATCTGTCCCAACCGGCGGCTTATTTGGTGCATCCAGTGGTGCACACTTTCTTCAAGATGTCGGAAGTCAGCCAGGTGCAGCAAGTACCCCTACCAATAAAAGACAAAACCGGACTCCAGGTCTACCAAAAGCACTGAGATGTCTGCCGAAATTGCACAAACGTTCCCAGAAAGCACACGCCGATGTGCAATTTGCTGTTCCACCAAGGAAGCAGGCAGACAAGCTTCTGAGCCTCTATTGGGACTATGTGGACAGCGCCTACCCCTGGCTAGACCGACCTTCAATTGAGAACGCATACGAGACCCTATGGGTTCATGAAGGTGAACTGATGATGGACGAGACCGTCCTCCATTGCCTTCTGAATCTCATGTTCGCCACATCTTGTGTCGCATCTCAAGGGGCAACCCCGCTTGACCGCTACCAGTCCTCGGTTGTGTTCTTCGACCGAGCTCAGGCGCTGATGTCGTACAATCTGATGGACATGTACAACATCGAAATTATTCAGATACTGTTGCTCACAGCCGTTTATCTCCAGCATGAAAAAGAGCCCCAGAAGTGCTTCCGGATTATTGGGACTGCGATTCATGTCGCCCAGGAACTCGGATTACATATTCCTGAAACAACGCAGGGGATGGACAACCCAAAAGAGCGAAACCTGGCGTGCCAGGTATGGAATGGTTGCGTTATTATGGACAGGTATGACACCAGAGCTGGAATTTCGAGTGTATACGCTGAAGCCATTCTAGAATCTGTGCCATGACGTTCGGCTGCCTTCTCAAAGTTCCTCGATCTGTCGCACAAGAAGGGCTGAACGCGCTCGTGCTCATTTTCGAGGAATCCAGTGGAGATACTGTAACCCCCAGCCTACCGTCGAAACTAAACTTCTACATATCATTTTGCCGACTACATCACATCATAGCAGAAGTACTGGAGACATTTTACTCCATTGATGATAGCACGGCGCGACATCATGTTTCCGAAAATCGCAACGACCGTGAGGGGAGCTGTGCTGTGCTTTTCGATAAATTCGCGAGTCTATTTCGCATCGATTCTGCTCTGAAACACTGGGCTCACGGCCTGCACCCCTTCTTCCAGATGCCGTCGGAACTGGAAGATCCAACGCCAACCAAGCACATCACTCGTGAAGCCAATATCCTACGCGCCAGGTCTGTTACTACGCACACATGTCATAAACGAGACCACTGACATCTCTTGTACACGAAGATATCTTTCAGTCCGGCTTCTGCTGTTTAGGATATTGCTTATACAGATCCATCAAAAGAAGGCAGAAAGTGCCCCCAGTACCGGTCTCTATGCAGACGATGACCAGATTATGCCCCACGTGGTTTTCCAATGTCAGGTGAACTGCACAAAAGCGGCCGTTGACATGATTGAATTCATCCTCCGGAACTCCCCAGGGCAGAAACAAGCGTATATTTTGCCATCAAATTGGTACACTGTCTCATGTACGTTGCACCTTAAGTAAGCACATATTGCCAGCTAACTTCAGGAAGATGTGTATATGGCTGTAACAAACTTGCTTGCGGCCCAATCGTCCCCGCAGATAGTCGAGTACTTCTCTGCGGCTCGCTTGCAGGACATTCTGCAACATGCTCGAGAAATCCTCCAGGATTACGAGAAACATACTACGCTGGCATCGAGGTGCCGTTCGGCATTAAATTTGATCGAGCAGAGCATTGGTCGGCGCGAATCGATAGCAAATACTGGCCCCCCTGAAACGTTACCAGTTAACAGAGGTCATGAAAACACATCTGTGCAGGACTTTATCTTGAGTACTCAAGAACCTCCACCAATCATAGAAGATGATTTGGGAATAGTGGAGAACTATACCTTCGATTGGAACAATTGGCCCATGTTCTTCGCGCAGCTCGGCGACGACACACCGCTCACTCAAAGTTGGAGCCTGTAGGCATGGGCATTGATCCTTAAGGACGTTTCATCTCCTTTGTGGATCAACAGTGTACAGTACCGATCGGCTACGTACTGGCAACAATATACAAATTTCGGAAAAGCCCATGGGGGAGTGACGACGAAGAGGTTTGCTTTACATTCTTTGGAAGAAGAGAAAATCTAGATGGTCTGTGATACAGAAAAGGAATCGTCGCTAGTATGACGCAAGAAGAATAAATGCAACACGCCGCGAGCTCTGCGACTACATGTGTCAAAGATTCGTTTGCTGCTCCAAATTGTGAGTGCATCAGGATCTAAGATTCACAGCCATTTGATGTTACGATCATGGTAGCAATTAGGCACAGCTGGTGTCAGCCAACGAGGCGTTACGCTGGGGTCACTCAATTGAACCACAGGCTTCAAGAGTTCCATCTTACCCCAGGAGCCTTCCCCAAAGCTGGAGAGCAGCGAGTCAGGACCAGCCTTGAAGTATTGAGGGAAGACACTCTTCCACCCGTCCATGACAACCAGCAAGATTTCTGTTACAAACTGCGACGGCCCGATGTGTCCCCACTTGAACAACTGGCTGCACCTGTCAACAACCTCGGGCGAGTAGAGCCCGATCTCAGGCTCGAGATTAATTGTATCAGCCTTGACCAACGAGCTCGTCACGCGGTACGAACCACCGTGTCGGGAGCGATCCCGGAGAGCCATCAGTGCACCTAACGCTCCCACAAGCCCGGTTGTCATATCAGAGATGGGCAGTGGAGGTAGGACGCTGGTCCCATCCTTGAAACCTAGGGAACGGCCCATCACGTACGACGAACCAGACGCCGCATCTCCGATTTGCTGCCAGCCGGGTCTCTCGTGGTAGGGGCCGTCGGGGCCGTAGCAGTTCTCCTCGACATAGACGATGCCCTTGCCACGATTACCGGCCATTTCGAGAAGATCATTGACACCAAATCCCTTTCTCGCAATAGCGTTCGGGCGGAAGCCCTGGATAAAGACATCTGCGCCCTCGATGAGTTGCAGCAGGCGTGACTTGTCCTCCTCCTTGGTCAGATCGAGATCTATGGTGCGTTTGCCAGCATTGAGGGTAAGTTGCAAGACCTGGGTTTTAGATTAATACATCGTGCTCTAAATGAATCCAAAAAGAAATGCTGAACGTACATTGAGATCCACTAAGCGACTGCAGTTGACGCGAATGACGTCGGCACCAAGTGCGGCCAAAGTACTGCCAATCACTGGACCAGCAATGATACGCACTAGCTCTACCACCTTGATGCCTGCAAGTGGCCGCTTATCGTTCGCGACCGTGGTAAAAGGAACCGGAGGAGTCGGGATCGCATGCGACTGGCGCGAGTAGCCGACCAGCGGGTGCTCTGCAAGTCTTTTCCCCATCAGGGTATCCGCCCACCCTTGCGGCGTAAAGCAGATACTACCACAAAATCCGTTCTTGACGTTGAGCATCTCGAGCTCATCTGCAGTCCACTGCTGGACATGCTTACTGATGTACTCGTAAGCTTCGTCCGGCGTCTGGGCCGGGTACTCGGGATCCATCCCTAGAGCACGCAGAACAGGCGCGGCATCCAGGGAGCCATGAATTTGATACCAAACGCCTGGCGTCTTGGTCTTGTAGATTGCAGTCGACCGTTGTCTCAGAGGCGTTGCTTGCCAGCCCTTCTCGAAATCACGCTCGAAAAGGGACGGTAGCTTGCGCGACCGGACCAATTCAGACATGTCCATTCCTTCGACAGACGCCGCAAAGATCGTCCCCAGCCAGATGGCCGCGTGATCGGTATTTACCTTCACCATCTGATCCCGGGCTGCAGTACCATCGCGATCTTCGACGATTTCGTGGGCCACAACACCACACATGGCATGTAAGGCAGCAGCGACAAGAGGAGCCTTGGTCGGGCCAGGGATAACAGGCAACTCGCAGCCAGTGAAGCTGACTGTCTTCCACAGCTCTTGGTCTTGAGTGAACCCAGGCGTGCGCTTGGCAATATACTCGAAGATGCGACCAGCATCTTGGGGCGCGGGAAGGAAGTCCTTATCGACAAAGGTTCCAGGACCATAGATGTCTGCACTTGGCGTCGTTTCGTGGGGAGCCATCGTGGAGTGTGTTAGAAGGCTACAGGAAAGCAAATGATACAAGAGATTTAGCGAGTACTAAAGTGTTTGTACAGCAGGGAAGGATCTAAAGGCTCAAGGATACAGTGACTATTAGTATACAGCCATCATTTACTTTCTTTCTCCACACTAGATCCATCAAACCGTTGAAAATCGTGGGTCCCGCATCTAAATTCATTCCGATGTTTTAGAATTGGCATCCCGAACTCGCGGAAAGTGTAAATATCGGCAAGCCGAAACCACGGAATCCGCTGGATCTGGCCCAAAGTGGCAACTCGCCCCTGATGAATCATGCCATTCCGAGCAATTACCGGCTGAACGCCGCGTGAATCCCGATCGCTGGGACTGCTAGAACGCCTTTTCTGATGATGGTCGTCATCAACTTCGGGCCCCTTCCGAGGTGCATATTACCCGATTAGGTAAGTGCATATAGATTCCGTGATATTAACACCACCAAAGTAGAAGCTGGTGGACTGCCACTCGACGTTGGTGGATATATTAAAGGACAGATACTAAACACCTTCCAGGCTCGATTTGCAGAGCGCAGACTCACAGAACTTTGCAATGTCCTCCTCGATTCAAACCGTGGGTGTGATCGGCGCAGGCGTCATCGGAGCCAGCTGGACAGCACTCTTCCTGGCCAAGGGCCTCAAAGTGATTGTAACAGACCCAGCGCCAGGAGCCGAGGCAAAACTGCGCGACTACTTGCAGGAGTATTGCTCCGAGGTACCGAATGCTACGGTTGCTCCTGCCGCTTGTCTGAAGAACTACACATTCGTCGAGGACATCGAGCCTTACCTCGGAAGCCTAGACTTGATTCAAGAAGTAAGCGACCGTTCCACAGAACTCATCTTGCACCTCATCATCAATACTAACAATCGTGCCAGAATGGACCGGAGAGATTGGACTTTAAACGCCGTCTGTTTGCACAGTTGGACGCAAAGACACCTCCTCATATCCTCATCGCATCTTCGTCCTCCGGCCTTCCTTCGTCAGAATTTGTCACTGAATGCTCTCACAACCCATCTCGAATCCTCATCGGCCACCCCTTCAACCCTCCTCACTTGGTGCCTCTCGTCGAAGTTGTCCCTCATCCAGGAACAAGTCAAGACTATGTGACGGGTGCATACAATTTCTACAAAAGCCTCGACAGAGAGCCGGTGGTCGTGAATCAGGAAACACCTGGTTTCATCGCCAATCGGCTACAAGCAGCCATATGCGCAGAAGCGTACAGTCTCGTATCACGAGGAATTGTCTCCGCCGAAGATCTTGGTGAGTACTGAATTTCCTTCCCACTGGGATGTGCGGGCGATTCTAATGCATATAGACAAAACCGTCACGTCCGGCCTCGGCCTGCGCTGGGCACTGACAGGGCCGATAATGACAAATACTCTTGGGGGAGGGGGAGACTTTACCCATTTCATGGATCATCTGGGCCCGGCGTTGAAATCGTGGCTCGACGATATGGCGGTGAACAAATTTGACTTGGGATCCGAGGATCAAGTGAACGGCTTAAAGAAGAATGTCAATGGGTGGATCTCGCAAGTCGACCTGAAGAAGGTTGAAGGAAATCGTGATTTGCTATTGGCTAATCTGGTCAAGGGCAAGCTAGACCAAACAGCGAATCAATAGGATAACCGGGTTATCGACGCTTTGAATGTGAAAGAAACAGGCATGTTGTGTAACTGCAGATTTTTCGATAAAAAATTAACTAGACTTACACGGAGCGGTGGTATCCCTTGACACGAGGTTCTTCTGAGTAAAACCTAGCATTGACTGCGGCGATTTGCCAGTCACTCTTCGTGGTCATCGTAAGCAATTCACATCGGCAACTAGGAGGCAGCCTGAATCTTAACCCCCCAGTTGCAGTTCGCGTTACGCCCATCGTTTTCTTACTTCTGGCCCACGCCCAATTTTGAAGGAGACTGAGGTGAATCTCAGGCAGCTACAAAATGAAGCTCTACATTGAAAATTGTTGAGTTGGCGTTGGTACATTTATAGTCATTTCTAGTGCAAGCTGTGTACCGACTAACATTCTTTGTTTCCTGAAAGCCTGCTGTTCACTTGAGCAAATTTGTCAACTACATGGGAACTGGGAAACGTCATGGTAGTGTCGCATATTTATCTTCAAATTGGCTTTCTCGCCTTCATCAGCGCACAAGGATCCGTCTCCGTCATTACGCGTGAGCGTCCTATCTAGCGCTTGTCGGAAAAGCAGCGGACTTGACAGAGCGGCGCGGAAAAGGCCCGGATCCACAGTGAAATCATCCAAAACAGTCAAGCTTCTACAGATGATGTGGACCGCACTCGATCCCAGACTTCCAACTCGCCGAAGGGATGTTATGCTCGGTATAACTCGGCTTCAAGCTCCCCGTGCCCCCACAACTCCTCCGGGTTTCCTCCACAATACAGAAGACGGGCCCCCGATTCCCCGGACGAGAATATATGGGTCTGGCAAGGTGGTGAAATGGCATTGATATCCACATCTGACTTTAGGGGAAAACGAGGCCCCCTTAATGCCTTCGCTCAGAGCTATTCTGTTTTGCCGGTAGTCTTCTTTTCTGCCTCCTCCCCCTCCCAGCACTGATCCATATACGCATAAACACGTTATTCCAACAATTCATTTCTCATACGCCAAAATGAAGCCCGCTTTAGGTCTTCGCGGCACCAAGCTCAACATCGGGCACATTTGTACGGTCATTCTCCCGGCCTACATCTGCTTCGGTTATCTCATGGCTGTGACATCGGGCATCGAAACTCGGCAGTCATGGGTACAAACATTTCCTCAGATGGACACTGTCAATACAACAGGCTCCAAAGAAGCAGAGAACTCTCGAATCAAAGGCACAGTGACGGCGATCTTTAACCTGGGCTGTCTTTTCAGTGCCCTTAGTTGTATAGTCGTGGGTGACATCCTTGGTCGTAAGAGAACGTTCATGCTGGGTCTGGTGATTACAATCGTCGGCTCAATACTCCAGTCGAGTGCATTCTCCTTGCCACAGTTAACCATCGGGAGGTTTGTTGCTGGATTCGGGTTTGGCGGCGTGACTGCTACTGGGCCGAATTGGTATGAGGACCACTCCCATTGTACGAGTTGGATTTTCCCACGCTGATTTCGATTTATACAGGCAGAGTGAGACCGTTCAGCCCCGGTTAAGAGGATTTATTGTCATGTTTCAGAGTATCTTTCTGTGTACTGGGCTGGCACTTGCCGGGTGGCTGGAATACGCACTCGCGTTCACAGAAGGATCGGTGACCTGGAGACTTCCTCTTGCATTTCCTTGTTTTCTCTGTCTAGTATCCCTCTGCTGGGCTCCCGTGTGGCCGGATTCAGTACGTTAAACTCCCACCATTACGTTATACGTGAATGCTAATAGGGCAGCCACGTTGGTTGATCAAAAAGGGTCGCATTGACGACGCTCGCAATGTCCTTGCTATGCTCCGCGATGAATCCGTCGACAGCCCCGGTATCGTTCACCAAATCGAAGAAATCGAAACATCGCTTCAGGAAACCGGGCAGGGCTCCTTTAAGGATATCTTTCGGAACGGACCGGCACGATTCGCCAACCGGGCGTTCATCGCTGTCTCATTGCAGATGGGGCAACAGATCTGCGGGGCCAATGCGATAACTTTCTACCAATCGACTATATTCGAGACTTATCTTGGTATGGACGGGACTCTATCGTTGCTTATGTCCGCGGTTCTTTTCACATGGTGTGCCCCTCCTTCATTATCGCTCATCATCGTGAAATTAGTGCTAAGGTAACAGGAAAATGCTGATTGCCCCCATCGGCACCCTGACTATCGACAAGGCTGGACGACGCAAATTGCTACTTATCGCCTTTGGTGGGATGGGCATATGCATGGCCGTGATGGCAGGGTGCATCTCCCAGCCATCCAATACAGCCGCCGTTCATACCGCGGTTGCATTCATTTTCCTTTACGTGTTCTTTTACGTTAATGGGTGCATTGGTTTAACGTATCTCTACTGCTCCGAGATCGCACCACTGGCTGTTCGGACACAGATTACGGGCATGTCGACGGCGTCGTCATGGACATTTAACTTCCTGGTTGTTGAGGTCACGCCTACTGGGTTCAGCTCCTTGGGATGGAAGTATTTTATTGTTTATGCAGCCATCAATCTGGTCTTGCTTGTGCCGAGTATGTTCTTGTCTTCACCTTTCATTTGCCTTGGTCATGTGATGCTGATGTCAATAGTGGTGTACCTATTCTTTCCCGAGACGAAGAGTCTGCACCTAGAGGCCATTGACAATATATTCCTTGATAGTAAAAACATCTTCCAGCCGGTTTCCGCGGCTAGAGATATGAGGAAGCATGGTCGACTGCAGGGTGCGCATGGGGGCTTGCAGGTTGAGGAGAAGGCGACAGAGGAGCATATGGAGGTTGTCTAGGAATACTAGAGAGCTGTCAGATATGGAGTCACGTACGACGGCTTAAAGTTGGTAGCTAGGCCGAAAGAGAACAGGAGTCAGGATAAATAGGAATAGAGGAGTAAACGGTGTAAATAGGATAGAAAGCGGTAGCAGACAATAGATAAGGAGAGCTAGATGGGAAGATTCAGGGTTCCTGCTTAACGATGATCAATTAGATGTTCCCTTTTGGCCACTATCAGCGCTAGCAGATGCAAGGTGGGTGGGGAGAACCACCCTTGTCCCCCAAATTCTTCATATTGCCTCTCTGGCTTTTCCGTGAGGACTCCATCAAACTCTACGACACACAAGGCTTCGCGTTACTCCTCTAGAACGATAGAATTATTTGCACCGGAAATAATTCGTTGATATCCAGTCAGATCATTCATTGTAGCCCTACATCCTCGGGCACCTATGCTGCCCCCGTGAACATATTGCCACTGGCTTCCACACATGGGTATATTGAGAAAATAGATAGATGCTAGAGTAGCATACAATCGAGCACTTCCCTGTCCTGATCCTCGATCCCTTGACACAAAAAACTACAAGGCATCTCACATTGCCTGCCATCCATATTATGTCCCCCTTCCACAGCTAAGATGTACTAAGCCTTTAGCTACGATCCCAGGCAGATCTACTTTGGAGGCGACCGATGTTTATCCGCACGCGGATTCATTGTTGGCGGAAAACGGCGGATGTGCTATTCGACAGTATCCGAGTCATCCGAAGGAGTTTAAAGACTTTGACGACGGATACTATGTTATGCGTGACTGAGCATGTATCGTTGGAAATGAGAAGCCGTTCGTATTAAATGTATATCTACTGAATTTGTTGGTATGGCTGGTTACGCGCCTGAATTGAAATCACAGTGCGGAACATGCCAAGCTGGGAAAGAAAGGGTACAGACAGTACGTATAGATAATATGGCAGTTTACTGTGATTAAAGAATAGCGGGCCGCTATTGTAGCTATGTCGGTATATCAAGGAATTGCAAGCTGCTACGGAGTAATATTTGCTTATTCGATCCATTCTAGGTTTTGATATCCATGATGCTACGTCTGCCTGTGGAAACAGGGAAGTTTGCCAGACCTCTTTACGGGAATCAGGATGGATTTAGGCTGGAATGGTCCGAGAAAGGAGAGATGTATCGGCATAGTTTTATGCATACAGCTCGACGCAGTACCATTTCTTTTAAACCAAAAAACCAACGTAGGGGAATCGCTATGACCTATGCGACGAACAGGCCCACGGGAATAATATTTTAGATATCAGCGTGACCCGGAGAACTGTAAAATATTGAAGGGATGTCTAATGAGCTAAAGAAAAGGTATCTTAGGACTTATATTCGACACTATCAGATAGAATTGACCACACAAGACCTATCCTTTACATAGTCGCCAAAGGAAAGCTTCGGACTAGCAATGGGAACTCCTTCCACTTCTTACTCCGATTCCTATCCGATTGCAGCGGCCATAACTCTTCCAGAACCTCCTTGACTTCTCTGGGGATCTGTATGGGTCCGGAATAGCCAATCTCGTTCTCGCGCCACAATTGCCATGCGACTCGACCTATTTCTTTGACGTCCACCAGCACCTCCTCATTGAGATAGAAGTCTTTTCGGGTGACAAGAAATGATCTCCCGAGCTGCCGAATAACATGTTCCACTTCTCGTCTGAAGAGGTCCGCTCCCACGAGATTCACGCGAATGTATTTGATCTTGCGTGTCTCCTGTTGAAAGAAGACAAGATTAAAAATCTCGGTGACGAGACTTTCGTCAACAGCGGAATTGATCAGAATTTTGCGGAGGCAGGAAGGACTCGGTACTTCGTCCTCACGTGGTGTACGCCGAGGATCGCAGTCAAGATCGAGGTAAACGGTATGAATGCGCAAAAGCTGCCCGAGAGCCTTGTAGATCTCGCACTCCTGAGCACTACCCCGAGAACGTTGTAGTGGCATGCGAAGCTCTTGGAGTCGCGGGCATGACCTGGCTATTGATCGAATGTGTTCGCCGTTGGAGATAGGGTATTTGGGTCCATCGTGAGGTGTTCGTCTCTGCTCTTCAGAAGTTTCAAGACTCAGGCCCTCCAAGCTGTGATGGTAGGAGAGAATGCGGTCTAAAGAGGAAAAGTTCCATAATCCCCGCAGACACAAAAATCGTAGCGACCTGAATGTTTGCACTGCAGAAATCATTTCTTCATTGTCCGATGCGGCATTTACTGAATTCTCTTCCGAGTGGGACGTGCGTGGCTTATTCCAGGGAACCATACCGACGTACAGACGTTCCAAATGAACCAAGATCGAGGCCATTTTACCTAACATAGCCGGCTCAGAATGGACTCCCAGATCAAGGGATCGCAGTCTAGACAGATCGATCATTGTTGAGATATTGAAAAGGATGCTCTCATGTGGTTGTTGAGGGTCGCCGTTGATGAACGTCAAGGAATCTATGCACACGACAGGAGAAGGAGGCTTCACCTTAGAAGTAAACTCCTGCCACTCCATTTTAACCTTCCTAATTGGGTTATCATGCCGGCCGTGCATATCATCGAGGAGCAAATGCTTAAGATTTGGGGCCGTAAAGACGAAGGAAAGAGGTTCGTCGATATGTATCCACCCCTGATGTGGGTCCCGGTTCACCGTATAGACTGCGTTGAGGGTATGAAGTGCGGGAGAACGCAGAATGTCAAGGTCAAAAGGCTGTTTGAACTCCTTACCAGTGCAACGGTGGGAACGTCCTAGACCAGGTAGATCAAGGGTTGGAGACTGGGGAGTCCAGACATTCAATCGGCAGGCTGGGTGTGACCGTTGAAGGGCCTGGAGAAGGCAAGTAGGAAACATATTGCGCACGGCGTAGCTCAGTAGCCGAAGATGCTGTAATCGCGAAAGGAGGCTCAATATTGGCTCCCAGTCGTCTTGCCTATAATAAGCAAGGGTTGAGGTAAGGAAAAAGAGTGAAGAGTCACAAATCTGGAACAACGAGTCCTGAAGAAGTGTGTCTGTAGAGGGCAAAGGATTAAAGATAACAAATTCATTTGCCCAATTCTTTTGCTGCCAAAGCTGCTTGGCTGTTTTGGTCTCAAGCCCTGGCTTCTTGAGACAGACAAGTTCAAGGGTTCGCGCATACCGTAGGTACTGACGACCGAGGCCATCTGTGTGAAGCTCAGAAATGGCATTGAGAAGCTGTGTGCGGTCGCAGAATGCAATGCGAAGATACCTGTAAAGTTCTGTAGCTGCAAGATCATGCCAATCTTGGCATGTCCGACTTAGAGCGGCCAAATCATGCCATGAGTAATCGACGACCTGTTATTCTCTGAGTTTATGTTTGTGTAGTTGTTATCATCCCATCCATGCACCTACAAACAGGCAAATCAGCCGTTGGACTTCCACGGGTAGGCAATCTAGGGTGGGCATGATGTTTGGCATAGTGACTGAAAAGATGGCAGTGAGACCACGGCGTTTAGAGAAAAATGGTTGTGCAGTAGTAAGCAGGGGTACACACAGTGAACCACGGTTTTAAATGCTGCTAGCCAAGACACTCAGGAAGACTATTAAAGTTGCCCCCACCGACTAAAAGTTGGCTCGCTACTTCTCCGAGACATCCCGGATCGTTAAAAGGAGATGAGAAGCTCCAATCTTTCTGCACAAATTATGAATTTGGTCTCCACCACGGTGAATCTTCCGGAGCCGGTAGGGGCTGTACCACTGAAAATTCGTTTGAAGATCATTAGATCGATCTTCAAAAAGGTTTAGAGCATAGCCGTTGAATTAGTATGCATATCTGACTTCTCACCGATCCATATGTTTCCTGGTTTCATGTTCAGATAATATTGGTGAAGTATCCACTGTCTTGCTGTGCCCCTTCGTCATCAATAGCAATACATGATTCCTAGAGAAACAAGGAGTATAGCATCCTTAGAAAAGTGACTTTATTCGCACTTCCAGCCATGATTTACTGGATCGGTTATTGAACGGGTGGCTATCAATTAGTCAGGAGATAATTAATTTACGATGTGTGATGACTATTATAATAGGGAATAGCAAAATTGATTACATTGAGCCAAGGAGTACAATTAGGGGTGGTGAACGGGGTTTCTGCCGCTTTCACGCCTCTGCAGCACCTCAACCACTGCTTGCTGATTCAATCTAGCAGCCAGCTCAATAGCTGTAAGTCCTCTACTGTCTCTCACATCCTGGTCGGCTCCTTTGCTAAGGAGGTAGCGTACCACATCCACTCTTCCGAGCTCGGATGCCCGGTGCAGAGGTGTTCCTAGTGACATAAAACACAAAACCGAGAAGGTTGGGAGGTCCTCGTGCACAGGAGTGTTCAAAGGCGCCCCCTTTTCAATTAACATTTCCAACACTTCAATAGTGTCAGCATCGCGTTGAACAGCATGATGAAGCAGCTGGCCTGGCTGGATATTCTGGCAATAATCCAACATTAGGCGGATAGTGGAAATGGGGGCTCTTTCAACAGCCCACGAAAGCGGGGAAACGTCTATAAATGTACGTTTATTGGGATCGGCACCATGATCCAAAAGCCAAGATACCATCTCTTCGTTTTCTATGGCAATTCTAGGAGGGATTAATAGGGCGTTAAATCGCGGAAGATTGGAGTATGGACTCACCCTAAGATGGGGGGTTGGGTCTCGCACATTGGCTCGTTGATATCCAATCCTTTTTCAATAAGGAAAGCGAGCGCATTCTTGGATCTGCACCTAGTTGCGCTCCGAGCGTAGATTGAATGTGTGGGAAAACCATGATCCATGAGCGCCCGCATGAAATCCACATTGTCTTGTTCCACAGCCTGCCCCATGATAATACCAAAGTCATCTATATGGAAGTTCTCCGACGACGATTGGGCCGAGTCGAGGAGGTCGCAAAATTGTTGAATATCCCCATTGAGGCATAGTTCTCTTGCTCTCAGAAGGATGTCCCGAGAGGTCCGGCCCGGAACTTGATAAATCTCACCCCAGATGGAAGGCGAGGGCGAACTTGAAGCAGGTTGTACGTTCATAACTGTTCGAGGTTGTCAAAGACTCTGTGTTGAATATATTTCTGGAGCAGTCGTAAGTAGTTGGAGCTTAGCTCGGATGGCTGGCGCGCACGGTGCATTTAAACTAATGGTGAGTCACTATACCGAAAGGTGACACAATAGCCGCTGATGTACATCTGCTCACGTGGCCGGCGCTGTATATATAGATTACTCGCGATTTTCCGAGCGCGCAGGGGACATGCGATCCAACTTGCAATCCGCGTCGGAGTATGCCTGGCTACGAATGTAGAAGTTCCACATTGATTGGTCCTACTTCAAGAACACAAGGCATATACCGGTCATGTAGCGTTCTTAGCACTGCGAGAGAGTATAAGTAGCTGGGTTCATAGGTGCTTTTTGGGGAGGGAGTGGTTGTATACTAAGATACCAAAAAGTCTCAATAAACCCTTAAGCAGAATATTGAAAATGTCGCAATTAGCCCGTTGGGTGCGTGCTCACCCGGCAAATGTGGTTGTTGTGCCGATGAATGCTGTCAGAGTGGTATCACTACATGAAATGTTTGCTATCGGCACAGAAGGGCTTGGAGCATGCTCTGCCATTGTGATAGCATCGTCCCGTGGTGCTATTCTTGCTCATATTCCGCCTCGCCCGACAGCATCAGCATCTGACCCATATGCCGGGGACAACAATGTTCGTCGGTTGATGACAGAAGTGACCGCCTTATACATGCGTTACCGCGATGAATATTTTTCCAGCCATACAGACACACTTATTGTATGTGCTCTGTATCAGGGTGCGATAGCCCTACCTGACCAAGTGCAAATTATGCATTCAGCACTTAGTCGCTTAGGGCCGAGTGTGTGTACTTATGATGTACCCGGAAACTACACCAACCCGGGACAAGGAACTGTGCTCGCTATCGGTAACCGCGGGCTCACCTCCCTTGGACTCCCCAATGAAGGTCGCGCTCGTATTTACGTTGAGGACCAGCAATATGTTCCGCGGCCGCCGTCCTGATATCGTATGCTGGAATTGACTTCCCATGCTGATAGAGTATCCCGGCCTTTGCAATCCGACCATAATGGCAGTTTGTGACATCACAAGGATATTCCTATCTCTCTCACTATATTTCCATGCACATGCCGCGAAAATAAACACATAGGATTCAAAAGTATTGCATAGCCTAATGTTGTTAGAAGTTATATTAAAGTAGCGTGAAGAGAGGTGGGGTGTATGCTCCCCTCGTCCTGAAGTGTTTACTGTAATAGTATGGCAAACAGCCAGTAAATCTATAGTTGCTCATCACCCAATGCCAAAGTGGTACACGCCCTACTCTTTCGTTGCGAGAATCAGAAGTACCCGGAACAGGAAACACAGTAGCTAGTATCACTATTTCCTCCGAATAAGAGGAAGAGGGGATGTGAGATTGGATGACAAAAAATGTCTATCGGACTCACAAACCTCCCCGCCGATTGAAAACTTACCAACCAGAACAACCCCCAATTATGAAAAATTCACTCATGACATCTCCAATGATACTCCTGATCAGCGGCCCAAACAAATGTTATTCAATAACAGACAGGCCTAGTTCTGCACATAAGTATGTATAGTGCATGCATAGTATAGATCAATTAAGAGGTAGAGCGTTCCCCAAAGTAGAGGCACAGCTCCGATCGTGACTGTGTTATCACTAATAGCCGCAACGCTGGTACGGCTTCACCCATGTTCCAGTCTGTCACCATTTTACCACTTAGCTACCATGAAACCAGACATAAACGTCTCCCAACGACACGTAGATTCCGCTGGGAATTTGCATACGATGAGAGAGATGATGATCTATAATACATGGCGACATTAGCGAATATTTTCTAGAAAGTGCCAGTATTCTATATGCAGGATGTGGGCATTGTCATAACTTATAGGGAGGGGTCGCGTATCTTTAAGTATAGTGACGGGAGATACCCCTTTGAGGACTAAGCAGAGATATTCAGTTTTCTCGGGAAAGCCAGTAGAGGCTACCTTACTATGGTGTGCACCGAGCTTAGCAGACCAGAGTGGTGCATACCAAGGCATTTAAAAAATATGCCTTGCATACCACATATCCGACGCCAACATATAACCGAACAACTCCTGGACACCCCCAGTTGTAAATGCATAGCAATATGGCTCTCCATGAGTAAGACGGCTTGGTGTTGTAAACCTGATGCAAAGGGAGCAAGGAATACTCGTATTCAAAGTCGCTACGGAAGTCTAGACTTCTGAGAGTTTGTGGCGTATTTGTCATCTCGGATAAAATGACGCGATCAAATCAACTCTGACTTGAATTAATTATTCAAAGAGTTCCACCCGCACATACCTTTCCTCTCATAGTGCTTCTAAGGATGCAAACTTATAGTAACCTGAATTCAGTACGAGAAAATCGGAGTCAACTGAGACATAAAGGGGATGGCCATCCCCGCCCTCCAAGGCTGGCACCCCGGCGAGGTCGCCATCCAACGCCAACTGGGCTACGCGACCGCCGTATCATCTCATTGGACTGCGGTCGAAAACCAACTTCGTGAACAACATCAAATATTCCACACCTCGAATTTGCCGTTCATTGCACTCACGACTACCGATGCTGATGGACGGCCTTGGGGTGGAATAGTTGCAGGATCGACGGGAACTGTCGGATTCGTAGACAGTCCAAGTTTAAAGTCGTTAGTTTTCCGACCACGATTATGGGAGGGCGATCCAATATTACCGACCCTTCAGGGGTGGAAATCACTGAAAGATATCACCAATCACCAAATGGAAGGCCGAAGATCAGAAGAGACGTCACTGACGGCTGGGTTGGGTATCGAATTCCCGACGCGCAGAAGGAATAAGTTTGCGGGGGAAATTCACATGGTAAAGGCGATGTCGCACTATGATTATATATTTGAAGTTGAGATTACTGAGGCGTTGGGGTAAGAGTCTCATACCAGCTTGGTCAAGACCAGAACTACAGGTACTAAGGGTAATCACAGCAATTGTCCAAAGTATATAAATGTGCGTCAACTTGACCCATTCCCGTGGGCGAAACCACACCTCGTTTACCAATCACTGCATATGGCACCGACGGAGAAGCTACCCCCTGAAGTGATTGATATGATAGAATCCGCCGACACGGTCTTTGTGGCAACAATCCACAGACCTGACCCTACCTCCGCAGCCATGTTTCCCTCACATGCGGGCATGAACTCTCGTGGCGGCTTTCCAGGGTTTCTACGGGTGAGGCCGTCTGACCGACGAAGCGTTGTCCTGCCTGATTATTCTGGAAACAGATTCATGAATAGTCTTGGCAATATCGAGTCAAGCGGGTTGGCAGGCTTTACGATCATTTCGTTCACAACCGGCGACATCTTGTACTTGACCGGTACAGCAAGAAATTACGTTGGACCATCTGCTCTCGAGATCATGTCTAGACATGCAGCAATTACCGTTCTTAGCACTACGGGATTTACGCTGGTTCGGAATGCGCTTCCCGTGAGACAGCGCAAAGGGTCGGAAGTTGGACGGAGCCCCTACACTCCGAAAGTTAAGTATCTGGTCGAAGAAGGGCAAGCGGACGCTGGTGGGGCACAAGGCCACAAGGCTATGCTCCAAAAGGGAATGCAACTGTCTGATGACCTGGCTATCTTCAGGTTTGAGGTAATCTCGAAGGGGGACGTTCGGCCGTTAAGGATCCGACCTGGTCAAGCTATAGTGCTAGACTTTATGGATTGGATAGGTCCACCACCGTACCAGCATATGGCAGATTCAGCACCCGGGTCGATAAACGATGATCGTGTGCGAACTTGGACAGTATCTAGCGCACACGAAGATAGTGATGTCGCATGGTTTGAGATAACAATGCGGGAGATGAAGGGTGGCGTCGTGACAAAAGCCTTGTTTGATGTGCTCAGGCTTTCGCCGCCAAATAGATGGGATCATCCTATTTTTCTGGAAGGGGAGGTCGTCACAGAAATTGTAGGCGTTACTGGGGAGTTTACATTGAATAAACGAGAGGTCAATCTGCTGCTAATTGCAGGAGGGATCGGAATTACGCCATTCCTGGCCATGCTCAGTGCAATGAGTACGCGCGACAACACCCCACAAGGCGACATTATGCTCGTGCTATCAACAAGAGAGCCAGAAGTTATGCTTACCCTCATTGAAACGGCTTTGCGTAAGGTTCCATCAGCCGTCAAGGTAAAAGTAGATCTGTTCACCAGCTGCGCTGTCAACTTAAACACCCGAATATCAAACCATCAAAGTACGAGCATCTCAATCTATGAAGGTCGCATTGGGCCAGAGTATTGGCAAACGAGCTCCAGAGACAAAGATGTGTTCGTATGTGGACCCAAGGCCTTTGCAGATGCTGCTGTGGATGGATTGCGGTCTATTGGTGTGCCACATGAGAGAATCCAGCGGGAGGGATTTTACTAAGTTTGATGAAACGCATCGTCCAAATATGTAAAATCGGATCTGTTGATTCAACACGGAATTAACTCGGCTGGTGGCCGTTTAAACGAGCCTAAAAACAATGTAACGTGTCTGGTCAGACCTAATAAAAGATCAGGGGCTCATAGTATGGAATAAGGTTGTCCCTTAAGGTATGATTGCCTTGGACTTTTATTTAGGATATGTCCGATAGAAATTCGAGCGCAGTAGATATGGCCAAGCTCATCGGGAACACCCAGGCTCGCCGGGCCTCCCTTCAGGTCAGTCAAACAGTCCTTCGTGATCCTGTACACTGATCACCTGGCTCTCCCTGTAAGTTGAATATGCCGCGTCTCTCCTGTCAATCTGGGTAAGAAAGTCAATGTTTGCAGTTGGCTGGCTCTATGACCCACCTACTTTTATATTTGCTTACATTTTACATAAGTCAGGCAAGGATTCATTTGCCTGGACCTCTCTATTCAAGACCTTTATGAGCAGCGGTATGAAACTGGTCACTAACTTCATGGTTTCAGACAAGCAATGGCTTTGGTCTCTACCTCAACCTGGTTTGCCAACTGTACTCAAATATGGGGTACATGCTGCGGAGGAAATATGCGCTCTAATATATCACCTCTTCCTGCGCCCCCCTCCCCCCGGGCAATCAGTAAATTACTGGCCAACTATCGTTATATATGAATAGAATAGGTGGTTTATTACGTGCAATAGTATTATCTGACCGTAGTTGAACGAAATGATTAGACACATAAGTGCAGTTAGGCAATGGGGGCTTGGATAATGCTGGCTGGGGATAGCATATACAATATATTTAGTGTACGAAGGTTTCGCCGAGCACAGGAAACCCTTGTCAACCTCTGACCTGAAAAGTTCTTGCCAACATCTTACTAATATACAGGGAGTTCGAATGCATCCAGATCCCACTCCCATGTCTTTAGAGACGGCTGATCATACTCACACTCCATGCTAGTCCCATTATTGTACCACATCGGCCGCAGGGGCCACGCGCAGATTTCCTGGGTCTCTCCTTCAAATGTGCCACTCAGGACGGTGCCATTCAACCTCACAGGCACCACGTCTTGCTCCACCCACTCGATCAATGTTTGGAGGGAAGTCTGCGGGAATGGGCCGTTTGGCTGTAGATCATTGTTCAAGCAGTGTGAGGCTCCTGGAACGAGGAACAAACGGTACCACTGGCCCAAGGCCTCGTAACTTGCATTGTACCCGAGAGTAGGATACATTGTCCTACGTACAGAATCGTAGTAATGCACCGAGGAAGCTGTCGGGATGCTACCATCCTGTTCGCCGTGATAATGAAGCACCTTGCCACCCGCTTCGTAGAAGGGTGTCAGATCTGGCCACGTGGTGTGCAGGGAATCCTCATACATCTGCCATCCCAGCTCCACCCATTCTTTCAACGTGTCGTAGGTGACATTATCGAGTGTGGGAAGGTTATCAAGTTCCAAACGTTGGAGAAACTTGGTGATATATTCTCCGCCCATGGAGTTGATGTCCAAACCCCAACTCCCTGAGGTTGTGTTGTACGTTGTTTGAGCATCCCAGAAAAGTGCCCCAGGCTGATAGGATAGATAAACCTGCTTGCCATCACTGTCTTTCATGCCATGAAGAATTGTCTCGAACACTTCCACCGCCTGAGCAGATATGGTCGAATTTTGCACTGGGACGTCACCGTCTGCAGCGCAGTAATACCGCTTGCCAATAGCTTCAGTGAGGTTGAATTGCATCTTGCAGAGATCAGAGCGCGAGACGACTCCGTCCATACGCCCGTCCATGCCATCGCAGGCGCTGATCGTTTCATTAACGATGGCCTCGACCTCACATTGCGAGGGATAGTACCCAAGCGTCTTCTCCACAACATTTGCCCAGAGGTGCATCGTCATTTGAAAGGAGTACCGGATGGCCGGGGCGCCAATTACTGCGCCATCAAGTCGCCGTAGTGCTGAACCTGGCTCCACCCTTCGCGGCCGCCCTCGGAGCAGCTCTGGTAGTAACTGTACAGCTTTTGGGCTTCCTCGTTGTCAGTCATGTTGAAGAAATTGCGTGTGAACTGCTTTCCAATTGTAGCGAGCTCGTGATGAGCTTGATAGCCGAACATATACAAGTTCTGCCAGTCTAACGTGCCGTTGGCTAGGAGCAGAATCTCATCAACCCCAACATCAAAGCCTCCAAACCCTCCATCTGTTGAACCGGAAACAGCTCCGTACATCACACCTCCAGGGAGCTGCTGTGTGCCTTGGTTGACATAGTAGTCTGCTCCGCCGGTGGAGAGATAGCGATTGGCAAATTTGTCCGGCGAGGGCATCCAGAAGCGCACCTGGACGGTGTCATCCCGGCCATTGTGGGAGTAGGCCAGGGTTATGTTGCAATAGTCGATTGTGGTAGCCGGATATACCGCAGAGCCGCTGGTAGAGAGGTTGTAGACAGGGTTGGCTGAGAGATTTGTGTGGCTAATAGTGATTCCAGGATACACAGTATTAGCAGGCAACTTAGATCGAACGTATGCAGGGGTGCACACATCGTCGAGAGTGGTGGCAGCCGTGACGGCCTGAACCAGTGTCGCCCCAAGGGCGATGACTAGTGGCAGACAGACCATCTCAGTTGAAAGAACGGGGATATATAGAATGGGCTGATGGCGAGCCACCGAAATGTGCAGGCTGTGGTATCAGTAATCAAGGCGAGAGTTGACTTGATTATATTGAAACCGGCCGTACTAGTAGCTTCAAGTCGCTCCTCAAACCACTTAGTTCCGACGTCGTCTATTTGGAGACAGGAAATCAGTACATTTTATACATGCTTCGGCATTTACGTCTTCATGTGTAGCTGATCTGGAGCCAATCTAATTCACGTCTTCTTCCATATCCTCGGAACCGGTTGGTGAGGACGCGTGGCTACTTCTGAAACCGCTTGCTATGTGGATAAACAGTAATAAAGTGGGGCCTAATGGAACCAGAGTGTCGATCCAGGTACCAAGCGGGCTTTAGTATTCGAGAAGCTTTCCCGCATTTCCGTATTTGGGGTGACTTTGCGGGGAGCCGGCCCGGAGATAACCTGATGTGGGCCGACTGAAGGACCATCCCGAATTCAAGTTACACTTTTGCGGTAGAACGAAATTCTCGGGCAAAGTGGACAAAGAAGAAAGTATCTTTGATAATCATGATATCATGAAAGATAACGTAAGCGGCAAGCGAGTCGGCCACGTAAGCGAGTCGGCCATCTCTGCTAGTAATATATCATCATTCTAATTTACATATAAAAAACAAAGCTTTTTCAACATCTAATTCAGTATTTAGAAGGGTCATATCTCTAGATACTACTTAATTAAGATATCTAGTATATATATACTCTATAATATAATAAGTACTATACTTAGAAGGCATTTAATAGTGTAGTTAATTCTTTTTAAAGCCTATATTTCCTGCTTATTCTTTTAATATTTCAATGAGTTGAAAGTCTCAAGTACTTTTTATACTATGAAGTTATTTAAACAATTTATTTTATATCAATTATATTTCTATTCAATATCAAATATTATATTATATTTTAATTTAATAATTTATCTTTCAAGGACTTCATATAGTTGATAATTTTTATAATCATGTAATATCATATGATTCGAAGCAGTCTCTGTATTTTTTAGAATATATATTATAATACTGATTGGATTAATATAGATTTATATTTTCTAAACTATCTTGAATTCATTAGTATTATTATAAAGATTAAAACGAAGTGTTTTGACTACTTAGATAGCTGGTTTTCTTGAAATTACATTTTCTTTATTATCTGGTGCCGCCCGAGGCAGACACTTGTGATCATGTCCCATGTGCTGTGTCCTCAGGCATCATTCGTCCATCACTGAATGTGTGTTTGGCTTCGTTTTTTACTACTGTCTGCTACCCTTTCGTGATCTTCAAGCGGGAGGTAAAGAAGTACAAGAAGTAGACCGCATGAGCGAAGCATGGGCCATGGAGTAGCGGGCGTAGTGATCAATGAGCTTCTTGATGAAATGCTGCAAGACTGCCATAGAGTGTTTGTTAGCTGAACTACGGAATCACATTAGATATCTTGATGCCCCTTCTACGACCGAAAAGTGCTTCGCTTCGAACATGTATGTTACGGCTTGACTTGCGCATGTAACATCACTTCACGTTCGGCAAGTGACCCTTACCGTCTCCGCCATAGGCCTGTTCAGACCAAGCCGGAATCTATCCACCCGTGACATTTTGTCCAAGACGAGCGTGTCCACCCGCAGGACATTCTCGCGATAGAGGGTCTGGGATTTCCAATCATAAGAACAAAGCAGCGCTCGCTGCATACCACCCTCGCTGCCGCAAAGTAGCATTGCCACCGGCGGGCGGCGAGCCCGGAATAAGGTGACGGTCAAGGTATTCGTATCAACTAAGGTGAAGAGCTTGAGCTCTCCATACCGCGAGTTCTGCGCAGCGGACACAAACTGTGCGGTGGATTCTCTGCAAGTGGGATCTTTCCCCACGCACTCACCGTTCTGGGATACATGCAGCGAGAGGTCGCTGGAATAGGGACTCCACTTCAAACGGCCGAGATTAATACCGAAGACCAGCTGCTCGATCTCACCTATCTCCATGTACCCCTCAAATCCAAACAGCCATGGCTGTGACGCCCATGTCTTCCCAACATAAAGAATGGATATTAGGTACGGAGACGCCAACATGACCAAAATGTACAGGCCTGTTAAGATCCACCCGATCACAGTGAATGCAAGGTAGGCGTCTGTTCCTGTTCTGGACCGGCTAATTGCTAGCGACATCACGCCTATAACAATCCAACCAGGAGTGCTGCGAAGAACAAATCTGGCCACCGAACGTTTTGCCGTCTTACGCATCAACATGTTGACCGGCTCCAAGGATGTCCAACGAATCGGAGCACCAAAGGCACCACTCATAATTACAGTGTCTTTGCCGCCGAAGCCGACAACTTGGCAAAGAGGTTCAATGTCCCAAAGATGACTGCCCCAGAAGTCGTTGATCTCATACCAAGGCTGGTCGATGTTTCGGGGTAGCATGCATATTAGCCTCTCGAGCACCCGATCGCTGTCGTTGGCCCAAGACAATCGACAAAAGGCTTCAAAGGCCGAGTCATTCGGGTTAACACTTGGACGACGTCGTAACAAACCCATCAGGGCGTACGAAAGGTCTCCGTTATAGTACCTCGTAGTTTCACGGTTCGGAAAGCATTGTAAGGCAATGGAGACCAGCTCGAGAGGGCTGAGTATAATTGAACCTTCATAATGATCAATAAGCTCTCTTGAGACAGTTGTGTCTCCCCAGGCTTCAATTGCGAAGTTCCGCTTCGACAGAACCCGGAAGGAATTTGGGGGGCAATCACGCTTGTATATGGAGATCGGTTGGCCCGATGGGCTTAGGAGGACCTCAGGAAAGGTCCACAGTCGACTTCCCAAATGACGAAGCATTTCACCTTCCTCTCGGCTGAGACCTGGAGAGGGACCAATAATTACCACCAAGGCTTGGGCACCCCTCACGACATCGCTGATCCGGTAGACGTCTTCAAATTGGTCGTCATCATCAGGCATGCAGCTGCACGCGATCCAGTAAGCCGCAACCCCTGCCTTCCGGGTAGCAGCTTTAGCAATGCGATGAAGTTCATCCATGTCTTCGTTCGACTCATGACTGTACTGCTCAGTGGTATAGCATATGAACAGATACTCGAGGCTGCCACACACTGCCTCCCATTCTTCGACATTAACGATGTCAATACCCCCGTCGTCTTGAAGCAAGCACAGCCGTCTCGGGCGTAGAGGCCGCTTTGATATCCCGTTTGCAAATTGACGAGGGCCCGGCAGAGTGTTAATGCTCGATGGATCGACCTCATGAAGATTGGTTGAAGCCGTTGAATAGCCCCAGTAGTGATACTTGAACTGTTCGTAATGGCCATTGTTTCTCAACTCTCCACCTAGATCTGTTGGAAGAAATAACTACATGAGTCAGCCATGCTTATGCACATGGAGCTAAAAGCTGTCTTACCAGACCAGCGATGGTCACACAGGACGGAAGCCACTCCAAGCACATGCAAACCCTTGACCATGCGTCCTGATTACTCTGAAGGTGTCGTCCCAAAAGCGAGTACACAACTCGAAGTATCGTCGGGGTAGATTCCTCAATTCTCTTCCGAGCCCAGGTCGAGTTGGCGGGGCCGTGGCATATATCCTCGGACGCTTGAACTACCAGTTCTACTAGTCGCCCATCCGTAGCACTCAAGTAACGGTCGGTTTCACGACCTATCCACACGCGCCCTAAGCTGTCTTTGTGACGGTAATCCTCAACAGATCTGTATTTTCTTCCCGGCCGATAGGTCGCATGGTGTGTCTCCGAATAAGATCTGGGGTTCAGGTATATCTCATAATACCTAGGACTCTTTTGTATCAAGATCAGTATAATGCCCGCAATGGGCAGCGAGTAAACCGACCTTTGCGAGCAAGTCCGGCCTTTCGAAATCGGTAGCCATGCTTCCGCTCTACGTGTTGGATAGTTAGTTCCCTTCTATATATTCATCAGAACGCCTGAAGTGAACCTTACTACCAAGGAGGCTGTGCTGCTTCTACCTCGGCCGTGGTCATGGATATGCCCAAGTTCAAGATCAGACTGCATTTCTTTAGAAAGACTTGTTAATCAGGATGAGAGGACATGGGATAGGAGCCTTTCAAAGAGTAGTGTCAAAGCTTTCGAGAGGGAGAGTGTTATGATCAATAGCCGTATGCCCGCGGTTCAGCTGGACCATGGAGGTGGCTTAGTCAGCCAGGACGCAAGGCTGAGAATCACCTCGTGACGGGTTCTCATTTGGGAGGTGGTCAGAAATTAGTGCGTTCAATGGGGTCAGAGAAATCAGGCTCACACTGAATGATCTTAAATCATGAGTAATTATACTTAGTGTCAGACTACTTAGGCCCAATCCTTCATGTGCGTCCTATAAACTAGAGCCAACAAATTTAAGTACTTTCTAGGGAATCTCATATATATATATACATTGGTAAAGAGAGGGCTTCACATCACATGCATGGCTGATTTAGTACTAGTACCAGAAATAGTAACCAATCGTGTGTATTGTAAGATTCTACCGTGCCAGCCTGATTTCTCTGACTCGACCAAACTATCTTTTTCTTTTTTCAGCTCCGGTCGGGCATGACCCCGTTCTACTACTTTCTGACCCCGCCGCGCGTGGGTGCCCCTTCGTTACTGTCTCTTGCCCGCGGGCAGGACTCAACATCAAGCAGTTAATATGTCTTCTATTTTTCAAGATCAGTCGCTTTTGGATCCTTTCAAGCGCGAAGCTTTTTGCAAACCCACGCTTTTGACCCCCCACACGTTCACTGTGGACGTACTAGATTCGGTCCAGGCGCCTGATGGTAACAGGGGACGTCCCAGATCTGCAATCAGCATATGGTAGCTAACACGACGCTCAGGTCGTTACCAATTGATTCCGCGAAAGGTCACCATGCCTGAACTAGGGAAATTGCCTGTACCTGTACTTCGAATCATGTTGGTACATCCACTAAGTGGGATCGCTTGCGACTAATACACTATAAAGCTTCTCCCCCCTGGATCTGCCAAGTAGCGCCACTGCTCAAGGACTTCTCTGGCTTTTCGATCACTATGCTGCGCCGTCTGCATTCCTTGCGGGCAGATTGCGGTCGGTAACACACTCATTTGGGGCTTTGAACTCCATAAATGGCTATAATTGTATGTATGTTACTATCTTCGACGTTTATTCCGATCAATAACTTGCACATCATATTAAGGCTCCTGGTTCCACTATTTGTGTAAGAACATCACAGTGATTCATGATGCTCATGGCAACGCGCGGATATCCGATCCCAGGCCGGGAGCACCACAGATGCAGCATGGCGACTCGACGTGGATACGGTCAGGGTATTTTCTGCGATGGGCAGTGGGTTCGAATTGTGGTCCAGAAGTGACGCTTCTCTGTTTCGAAGCGTCGAAATCTCTCAAAGAACGTCTCAAAGATATTTCACCATCGTCAATACCAACCAACGTCGTCCATGACCCGTACAGCCTCTTTGCTATCATCTTCGAGGAGCTGTCTTTGCAAATGGACAATACGGTTTGGGATGTGATGGATGTGTTTCGCCAGATCGAACTGGTATTCCGTGCCTCTAGCCAAGTGTACCTGGGTAGTCGCTGACCTCCCTAGAACACCTTGACCACGATGAAGGATAGGGAGTCTTTCACTGGGCTACATAATGTTTCAAAGCATATCCTGTTTCTCCAAGAGAGCGCCGAAGCTACAATGCTCACTTTGAAAAAGTTATCCTGGCACCATCAACAAATCCTAGAGAACATCCCTGACGGGGACCGCCATGTCACTGAAATGGCACAGGGAATGCTGACGCATGTGGAGACTCAGTTCCAGTCCATTAGTCTGCGTTTGAAGGGTCTTGAAAAACGCATGAACAATATCATTGCATTAGTATGCTCTGTCCTCTTCCATAAATACCGGCAAGGCGCATGTATACACTAATACGTACTATGTACTTTAGTCCTTCCACCTCGTCACGCAAGACGGCAATCGAATTATGCAGGCAGATAGCAGTTCCATGGCCACCATTGCGTTCGTCACACTCGTATTTCTGCCAGTGTCGACAGTATCAGTGAGCTCTATCTATCCCACTTGTGGCTATTAAAACTTCTTGCTAACCCTGTAGACTATATTTGGAAATCAATTTTTCAATTTCGACCCTGTCACGATCCGTATATCCCAAAGCTTCTGGATCTTCTGGGTAGTGTCCGTCCCGCTGACCCTCCTGGTTCTTCTCGTATGGCGTGTTATCACTAAGGGCTTGCCGCCCGGATTGTACGATGCGTTTAATATGAGAAGGGGGAGGTGGAGTCTGTAATAGTCATATTAACCTGAAGGCTCTCTTAATCGAACTACCAATGTATAGGAACGCAGTAAACCTCTAGATCAGAATACAAGTCCATGATATCATTCTCTTCGATTACTGCAATGTTATAAATCCAACTGCCACACCTTCACAATCCTGCTACATGAAAACCAAAAGGAAACAGACCAGATCGACTAGATAGCTTCTGCCTAGAGCATTTCCTCGCTAGAGCCCGTAAGTAATGTGCGCCCGCTCATCGTTCGCAGAGGTTGGCCTTGGTAGGCCATAGATGCCTAATTTATGCATCTGCATACAACAGTGGACAATGCCTATGGATTGCCCCGTTATGCAGATAGCCGGCACTATTGTTTGAGACACTAATGTCTGAAAATGTATGATTTCGAACTCCACGCTTGTTCCCGGACTCATGCTATAACCAACGAGAAGAGATAGACTGTGGGTAGAAAAGAAGAACCCCCCAACAGCGAGAGAGGAAGCTCCATTCTATTTGTCCGTCAGCACCTCAACTATCCAACTAGCAAGCCATGGGGAGCAGCGCACCATAGAAGAACGTCGGGCATTGTTTAGCTTCCGGATGATTGTGAATATCTTGAACATAATATGTAGAGAAGCGATCATAACGAGACCGTCGAACGCAAGTTGGAGCCCCCAAGTCGAAAGAGGAAAGTCTGGGTCTGGGCTGTATGCAAATGATGACAATAACCAGGTAATGAAATGTGGGATAGACATAATAACGAGGCTCACTAAAGTACTGCTATGCATTTTTGACGGAAGAATCCTCTTTGTAATATCGTTACGATTCTGCGCCTTGTAGGCATGTATAAGCCGGTATAATACATTCAGAATAAGGATACTCTGCAGATATTTGCAGATCTGAGCGATGATTATCATGGCTTCAACGGTTTCTGGTGGTACGTCTCTCAGACTTCTCAATAGCGAATAAACAGCAAATGCTGTATGTCTAAAATGCATTATCAGCCAAGGACATTCCTGACCGGTATACGAAATTCACCACGTAGGACGATACATTGATTGACTTAGAAGGAGGATGAAGAGAGATTTAAACGGTATTGCTTTTGGATCATGCCTCGGCCGTCTTATCAGACATGAACCAAAGACAGATCCCAGAGAAACAATTCCAGCTATTATAGAAAAAATTAAAGAGACAATGATTCGCGTTTCATAGCTTCGCGCGACCATATTGTGTGGAAGGCTGAGGGGACGAAGAAGTGCACGCTGTTTTATAGAGCTTGATCGAGAAGCAAATCGTTTAATCTCTCTATTGAATTAATTTAGAACGGGGGAAGTCGACTGGATTTATTCTTGTCCCTTGTCTCGGGGAAGCAAGACGCAAGGCTGGCGTTGCTGCGTCATGAATGGCTGGCCCGGCGTTAGCGTGAGGCTGACCTGACCAAGGTAGCCGCCATCCTCTGCCTCCTGATGTCTTAAGCTCTTGCCTTCCTGCTCCTTTTCTTTCTCTGCCTCTTCCAAGTTACGTCCTCCTCCCTCAGTTGTTGGATTCTTACCACCGATCCCCACAATAATAACCGATTAACTATAATGGCCCCACACCAGGTAAGCCCGTCTTCCGCCTAATTGTACACAATTCCCTGTCTAAAAGACTTCATGAAGGATGCTCAGCCTAAGCGACACGGAGGAGGATACGTCCCAGTGGATGCCAAATATCAGCCTCGATATCAGTCCCGTACAGATGAAAACACCGGCCATTCAAATGAATCGTCTCAGCATTCCGCCGTTTCTGAGCGACCTAAGACCTTTCCCATCCAGCGAAGTAGTCATGGAGGAAGCTATATTCCTGGGAAGGGTAAAGAGACGCCGTGAACTAGGTTATAGAACTACGAAACCCCCGCGGCGCAAAACACAAGTCAAGTATCGTTAGCTCTGCGAGACTACCTTGAAATACAAGTGGACATGGTTCAGATGGGCTAGATTCCAATCAGGATATTTATTGCTTATTTTGAATATAACCCAATCTCCGCCATGCTCCGATATCGCGAAAAGCATCGGGCAATGCATTGTGGTTAACTCGTCCCTTGCCCTTCTTAATGCATTTCACTTAAATCTAAGCCATAGGTTCCCTATTCAGCATCCCTGTGTTTGGACCTCTAGCCTAGCCTAACCTCGGATTACTGGTTCCTGCCCTCAGGCTACCCCAACTCGGGTTTATGATGAGATTCCTAGTTTCCTTATTTCGGCTCGCAACTTTAGCGTGTTGGCCCTCACATGTAGCCAGATAGGATTCTGATGACTTGGAGTGGTGGATGTATACAGGTGTAATTCGGAACACCCAAAACCGCGCCGCGGCATCCTTTCGCTAACTTTGATCAAATCAACCTGTATCTACACGCGATAATAGAGCTGAGTAGAGAGCCGTCGTCCAGGGAGTGCTTTCTGGCACCATATAAATGAAAATTACAAAGCGTAATCACTAAATTTTGTGCCATAAACTTGTTTAATGCACCAACTTCACAGCTTATCCGAATAAAGCCGGAGACCTTGCTTTCTTGCGGGTGAGGCTGCAGATTCGCTCCGGAGGTGGGCCAAACTCCAGAGACTGCTTAGACAGCGACGCCGTGCTGTTCGCCCTTTACAAGTCAGGCGCACCTGGACGCGGCATTTGGTGCATATTGGCGGTGCTCTGATTCGCGACACGCTTCAAATCATTGCATATCCCCCCCCGTGTTTGCTTTTTATTCCGGGAGTTGTAATTGGGTAGCTTCCATGGTTTCTTCTTGGCCGTACTGCAGGCAAGGCTCTCGGTCTCCTCAGTCACGCGGAGGCTCAAGCCTCAACCTCGCCCGTCAATGACCCACTGAGGAAAAAATACCTTGGTGCCTTAGTGATTGAGTGGTGACCACGAGCAGATCCATCCTGTTGTGTACGTGCTCACCCGGATTTTGCTTTTTTCTTTTTCTTTTTCTTTTGTTTGCTTTGTTCATTAGGTTCAATGCCCTCGCCGCTTTGACCCCCTCCATCACCTTGCAATCCGTTGTGACACACTCACTCCAGTCAGGGTCAGCTGAGCCTTTGCCTCCTCTTCTTCCTGCGTGGTCTCTGACCCACCTCCTCCTCTTACCAACCAGCCAAACATCCTCTTATGATCTAGATGGATCGAATATATTAAGACCTCCCTATATTCTGACAAAGCTTACTAGGAGTTAAATAATCCTCAATCAATACCCCGCCATCCCAATTTATATTGCCGACGCTTCCTTTTAAGAGCTCCCTTCAATCCTACAGGCCTAGTCTGGCCGATTGCTACAGCATTTGCCTTGGTTTCTGTTGAGGCATTCATATAGGCTATTCTACTGCCTGGCACTCAGCTGCCTGCATTAGAGTAGTTAACGGCCAGGATAGGATAGGTTAATACAAAGTTTATACCACCTGTCAGGTGTGAGACCTCGGTCATCCCATGCCTTATCACGTGATCGCCGCACAGAGATCACATGACCTCTTAGACTCAAAGAATTACTGACAGCAATTTCTAGAGAGATAATTAGAACACAGGACATATTAGAAGATAAACCAGGAATTAAATAAGAATTGAAAAAAGGGGATTAAAGAACTTAATTATATAGATAGATATATTAGATAAGCTACATAATCTAATCAGACTTTATAATTACTCTGCCGGCAGTAAACACCATGAAATTATTTTTGCCCGATGGCCGCTATTAACCACTGTATTTAGTAACCCCTTCGGGCGGGATCGAACGACCATCGGGCCGAGATTAGTTCTCGCTCAGTACACAATAACAGCCACAACACCTCAATTACTCGCGATGGTTTAATATCAACTTTCCGAAGCCGTTCTATATGTCCTTCTGTCCTTGCGCGGGTCGACGAAATCATAGCCCTTTAATACAGTATTTCCCCCGCAATAACTGTAGAATGTATATCTGGCTACACATAGTGGCGTGAACTATGCCGATTGTAGTAGCATAGGGTTGCTTAGGGTAATATATCGGGTAAGCGAGCATTCCAGTTACATACCCATAGTTAATGCGATATATTTCAGCCTTATATCTCAATAACCAATTCAAATACTGGTAATAAATTGTAGGAGAAGCTTCTATATAGTAAATTAATTACATTTAACAGGATCTATTTGATGTGTAAAACACTCTTAAGTCTAATATATGATCTATATATAAAATACATCAATTACATTGTAGTTAATGTTTTTTTTATAGCCGTTTATGATTATCTAATATTGGATATAAAATATAAACAGTCTTCCTATATCCTATCCCCGGAGGCTTAGATGTTCTACTGGGGCTGAATGTTGAGATATAAGACTGAAATATATCGCATTTACTATGGGTATACAATTGGACGCTCGCTTGCGTGGAACGCTCGCTTACCGGATACGTTACGTTGCATTCCTCATTGTTTTGATTATTTTATTTGACTGTTTTGAAGCTCTAGAGATTGCATAAATATGAGCTATATCACGCAGATAGTTAGAAAAGAAGTTTAGACATCTTACCAAATTTTATTACAGTCTCAAACTGAAGTTCAAAAGTATTGATCTAGGAAATGTTCGTATTGCCTAGTAAACCTATATGGAACATTGAACTGTAGTGAAGGCCTGATCATCGGAATCGATGATCCTACATGACACTTTCAATAAGACCTAATGAGGACACATGGTCTCATTGAGATAGGTGGTTTTGAAGCCATAGAGTTGATCTAGGCAGCAAAGGTAAAGTGTTGAATCTTTGGCGGTAAAATTACCTAATTCCCGCTGACAAAATGTCCCCCAGCCCCATTCCTTTAAGCTTAGTCTCCACCTCTCTGGCCCACCACTCCTGCCACCTCAAGGCTGTTCCTCCTATCCTCGCCTCCTCCACCCAAAAGACTGCAAGATGGCTTCTCAAAAGTTCTTCCACAGTACAGGTCAAGAAAGTCCTCTGAGCTTCCGAAACGCCCATATCGCCGCTCTTCACCTTGGCCACCGCTCTTACAAATGACAACGCAAGACCGTCATCGCCCCCATCGTGACCACCTTTGGCAGAGGGCATATTATACACCACTTCGGAGCCAGAGCAGAAGTCGCTCACACGAATAGTGGCTGCATCGTAAACAATCTCCCCTGTCGTACCTGATATACGTCCACGACGCCTGCTGATAGCGTCTGTGAGAGCGACCATATGGAACTGGGCGATTTTTACAGGGCGGTACTGAGGCTCAGTGCCTAGGTTGCCTGTGTAAGACTGCTGCTTCAACGACAAAGAAGATTGTTTGGATTCACTCTTCAGTTTCTGAGGGAATGACAGAAGTTCATCCTCCCACTCTATGGTGACCATTTGATCATCACACACATCGTTGTCGGATTCCCAGACACAGCGCCCATACCAGTTTTTCCGGCTCACCTGAGATGCTGGTGTTTTATCATCATAGTCCTCACCTAGAACTTCCAATAAGCGCTTCGCTGCAGAAGGGAGTCCCTGATTCTGAAACACATCCTCGATATCAGGAACTATTGCATTGACAGGACGGTCACGGTTGCCTGCCCTAAGGTGCTGATGCAAATAGAGCGATTTAGCACTGTATTGACAAGTTGTCTCCACAGGACAGCTCAAGCAGTTGGTGGCTGAACCGGCACCGGAGGGCTTATTGGCTTGCCTGAAGAAGTGCAGGCGCCCTGAAGAAGTCACCCTTGAAGGGAGATGAGGCGGTTCGGGATTGGATGTAGAAGCCGGCGAACAGAGAAGCCAGAAAAGAAAATCGATGTCGTGGCACGACTTTGTGAGGAGCGAAGGTGCGCTAGTGGATTCTCTGCGCCAAAGGACCTCTGGATATGATCAGCAACTGTCGCGATAATTTGTAGTCTGATTTGTGCGGAACATACCGCACGTAACAATGTTCGAAGTGCTTCCAGCCAACTGCTTCAGTGTGTTCAACACTGATAACATCACCAACCGCTCGATCCTCTCGAACAAGCTTCCGTAACATAACCTGGGGGCGGCTATGCCGTAAAACCAAGCCAACAGCAAAGATTGCTTCAGTCTGCAACATCTCCCATGATTTCAAGAGTGTCCCATAAATACAAAGAAGGTCACTCAGCCGCGTTGCTAGCGGCTTCTCACACATAATATGTAGCCCCAGTGGTGCCACAGCCTGGACAACTGTTGCATGAAGTTCATCCAATAGGCATACAAATACTGCATCTATCACTGGGTCCGTCACCGTCCCTGTCAAGCGTTCCAACTCTCTTCGATTGACTTCATAGCTGATGAAATCCTCCCAGCTAGAAAAAGCCTGGCCTTCAAGCGGCTTACCTGTCCCCCAGATAAATCTTTCGCCGAATGCTCGCCTCTTGAATTCAGATGGCTCAGCTACTGCGGCGATAATGCCTTCGCCAGAACTGTGAATTGGCTCAGCATAAGAATAGCCACGGTATCCTGCGCCTATTATGAGAATTCGAGGTTTTGCTCCCAAGTGGCAGCTTTTCTGGGATGTGGTAGGTACGGCTATAGGGCCCTTGGGCCTTGTATACCGAAACAACTGCATGATCGCGGACTTGCCTCTGCAATGGTAATGAAATGACAATGAAATGAAAAGGTCTGGGGATTGGGGAATTGAGACTGCAGGGAGATGATAGATTTTGAACACGTTGGAAGCCGCCATTTATCATAAATTTGCGGTCCTCGGCTTACCACCCCTGGCCCGCATATTCCGAATTTTGCTTTCCGATTTTACTATGCAGGTATTCGCAGTAGTCTAGAGAGCTATTAAACCGGTAAAAATTACGGCTTTCTATGGAATGGTTCTGGCTACCACAGAAATCTGGTGTTCAGTACCGTATAAATAACAAAGTACGGTCGAGTTAAAAATATATTGGACATGCCATTTTCACGCCAGTGAGTCAGGGAATTCGGAGAATGCCGGCCAGAGGTAGTAAGGCCAGAGCGAACCTATTTCTGGGCCAAGTATTCAATTGGTTTAGCCTGATGCTCATCTGGTTCTAGACTCTGGTTATGAGGTATATTTCTCCAACTAAAATTGAGGCCATGACTGGTCAAACTTCGGAACTGGCGTGTTGATTGTGCTACTGGCTTTACTGCTTCCCTTCAATAATAAGTTAGTCTGTGCTTATATGAACAGTCGTAACAAAAGTCCAGGATCAAAAGGCTCACCGTGCGTTTTCATAGACTGATATATAAAAAGCTTTCCTGATCAGCGTTGAAGTGATTGATGAAGATCTTCAACGAGACTTTTACACAGGCTGTCCATGACGGGTGGCGGTTAACATGAGAAAACAAATGGCAAATAAGGAGTTGTCTAGCCTCCTACAATTTTCATGTTGGTTGTCGCGAATAAGACACCTTTAGGGACTACAGTGCCGCAGACGACATCTACTGGGCAAATCATCTCATGCATCATGCATGAGGGCACGCAATCTCTTGGTTAGGCAATCTCACGCCGCTAACTAGAAGCAGTAAAATTAGAAAGTGACTAGCGCAGACCGATTGTTGCTTCATGACAGATAACTTTCAAAATAAGCTGGCCTTTAGCCAAAACTAAGATTTCTATGAGGAATAGGATACGTATTTATTCCTATGTATGATTTTTGCCATCGCAATTTCCTCGCTGGACCAAAGGTAAGCTTTACTTTATGAGCTTGTTCTGATGTTTTCAACCACCGAGCGCGCCTTGGTTTTGATCTCCCGCCTGGAAGGATTCACTTAGATATGGGTGCTAAGAGGGGACTGAGGAGGCTTAGAGAGTATAGGGTCAGCTGGGGAGTGGGGCCGCTTTCAGCCTTTCCGATAGAGTTTTACTTCTTAACCAGTAATCTTCTAATTTATATCAACTACCCCTGTATACACTATTCTGATCAAATGTAACCTCAATTACGGAGTAAAGAACTCCGTGGTAAGCCTTGCTGGATTCCAGAAAGGTAGAGGACACCGGTCTGCCGATAGATTCAGCACGTAATTACCACGCCCCTGACCTCGTACTCAGCAGATCCATTTCTTGTATATGTGTCTCTCTAAAGAACCTCTATTCTATCAAGTGCCTCATAGTATCGCTAAATACAACCTGGCAATCCAAGATTGAGTCATTATGCAGAGGCCTACTGAGCAAAAAACTCTAGAACAAGAGCCCCTAGATGAAAATCTGCCGGAGGGTGAAGAGGAACGGCATATCCATGGAATCAAAGTAAGTGTGTTTAGATTGCAATTGAAATTGAGATGTTACTGACAGCTGTAGTGGTTTCTTTTGGTTGCTAGCACGTTGACAGGCAGCTTCATCTATGCTCTGGATAATACCATCGTGGCTAATATTGCACCGGTTTGTTAGTTCAGAATTGCTGCAAGAAGGAAACTCTGACAAATGTAAAGGCCATCGTTAATCATTTTGATGCGGTCGAGAGTTTGCCGTGGTTATCAGTTGGGTAAGTTTTAATACGAAAGGTTATATTGATGAGCACCTCTAACAATGCCCGGGGGGATAGGTTTATGATCGGTGGAGTGGCAATGGTTCTTATTTACGGCAAGCTATACGCTCTATTTAACTCGAAATGGCTGTATATCACGTCCACTGTTATCTTTATGGCTGCCTCTGCACTCTGTGGCGCCGCTCCTTCCATAAATGCTGAGATCGTTGGACGCGTTTTTGCAGGCGTAGGTGGAAATGGAATGTACTTCGGCATTCTAGAACTTCTATCAACTAATACCACGAGCCGTGAGCGTCCGCAATACTTGAGTTTGACGTGAGTGAGAGCCCTCTACGTGAACTTGACGACGGACTTGTTGACAAGGACACAGAGGTCTAGTTTGGGGTTTAGGAACCGTCCTTGGTCCCGTCGTTGGGGGTGGATTTGAAAAGTATACCTGGCGCTGGGCATTTTACATTAATCTCCTTTTCGGCGCCATTCTTATACCGACCTACCTTCTTGTGATTCCGTCCAATGATCCAGCACCTGAAGTGCCCTATCGACAAAAGCTTTCTAGTTTTGATTGGGTTGGTAGCTTACTGAACGTTGCTGCATTTGCAACCCTAGTGATGGCAATTAACTTTGGCGGCACTCTATATGCCTGGAATAGTGGCCAAATCATTGCTTTGTTCATAGTGTCAGGGACACTTTGGATCTTATTCGGCATCCAGCAAGGTTTTACTATTGCCAGCTCCCTACAGGGTCGGTTACTGCCAATGCATCTTTTCAGGCAGAAGGAACCGACCCTACTATTTTTTGCTTGTGCTGCAGTAGGAATGGTGACATATCCAACTGTGTACTACATACCCATCTACTTCCAGTTCACTCGGGGCGATGATGCAATCCAATCTGCCGTCAGGTTGCTTCCCTTTATCTTTATATTGATTGTGGCCATTCAGTCAAATGGCGCATTAATGTCTCGCTTTGGTTATTATAAGCCATGGTACTTACTCGGAAGCATAGTAGCCCTGATTCCCAGCAATTCTGATAGGTTAGGTGATACTTGTTCTTTGTGTCTCTGTCAAAGCTAATCAAAACATAGCTACTATTATCCAAGTCCACACAAGACCGGCCATTCTCTACGGACTTGAAATTGTAATTGGATTAGGCGCCGGTTCATATACTCAGGCAGCCTTTGCTGTGATCCAGGCCGTCGTAGCCCCCTCCGAAGCTGCCGATGGTCTTACTCTTATGCTGCTAGGTTCGTCTAATCCAGTACTTGTTTCGGAAAATCTCTCACAATAGACCAGCTCAACTCCTTGGAATGACCCTTGGACTATCCATCACCGGTGCAATTTTCGTTAACGTCGCCCAAAATGGCCTTTTCAAGTTGCTTCCCAACCTACCCCGGGAGCAGGTTTCTCAAGTTGTCTCGGGAACCAGCAGTGCGCTACTAAACTAACTTCCAGATACTGTTCGAGAACGGGCGTTGGATATAATTGTGCACGCTTGGCGCTATCTGTAAGTGGGGTTCTTCGCTCATCCTTTCTTGTGGTATATATAAACTGATATCTTAAGATTTGCTTGTGTGAGCTTTGGGGCAGGAGTCAGCCTGCTTTGCGCAGTGTTTATGGCAGTGAGTTTGTTTTCCCTCGAAATCTGCGAGGACAAAAATAACTCTTCTATAGAATAAACGTGCGAACATAGTGCCTGCTGCAGGCGGGGCTTGACTTTTGATTGATTTTTGCACCTTGTGTACCGCATGGTATATCCTGCAAGTTGCATTATCGATAGGCTAATGTCTCTGAATGCTCTTGTATTGGGGAACAGCGTTTTACACGCAATTGCTTTACTCTCAGAGCAGCATTGCTGACCGAGTTTGACTTGCTTTTGGAGGCGAAGCCATACATGAAGCATGGACATAGTTTTCCTAAATACAAACTTATTTAAAGTAATAGTTAGCGTAGCTTAGGCAGGCACTTACCTGTTGAACCCTAGTATCTAGTATTCGGTATTAGCTGGATTATTTGCTCCCGTTCTTTTCCGCTGTAGAGTGTGCCCGAATATATATTCTCGGATGACCGAATTGAACCGACAGGCCAGCGCCAGCACCAGCCCTATGCACTAGTCTGGCGGTCCGTTGGTAAGTTGGTAAGAAATTGGGGATTCAAGCACCCTACCGTGGAGAACAATGGGTACTTGCTTGTGGTACTTATATGATTGCTAGCCGTTTTAGTATCGTTATGTAAACACACGTGGGAAAATAAACGACGCGCCAGCTCTCCTACTGGACGGACAATGGCGGCTGAGAATACGAAGACAACTATAGGTCAAATGGGAAGAGTCCTGTTCTGAACAAAGCAATGGAATATAAAATCCTGTGCGGATTTGACTTGTCATTTGAATTCCACCACTAAATTTTCAGAAAGTATGCTATAAGACGATGACGAGCGACAAGAGTCAAAGCCCCATCATTCAATTCTCCTGACCGTCACATCACCCCTGAAGCACTCCAACCCCTTCAGGGAGCCATCGTCCTGCACAGTCAACGTGCCAACCTCTTTCCCCGAGGCGTCCACAACTGTCGCGCAGTCGCCCTGTTTCGTCTGGTACAGCCTGACCTCAGGCGCTTCGCACCAGTCATACGCGAACCCTCCCTCCCCTTGCTCCTTGCCCATTACTATCACCGCCCCCTCGCGCACGTATATGGGAAGCGTGCCGAAACCATGCTTTTCACGGCGCCACCCTGGCCCAGAGACTACTTTCTTCTCGTCCCACAGGCTAGTCCACTGACCTTCTGGCAGGTAGAACTCGACCTCACCGTGTTCGGTGAAGACGGGCGCGACGAGCAGATTTTCGCCGACAAAGAACTGCCGGTCACACGCAGCCCACGCGGTCGGATCATGCGGGAATTCAAGTGCTGTGGCGCGCAGGCTGAGCGGCCAGCCCATGCGCGTGCTGTGCACGGCCTGTGTATACAGGTAGGGCATAAGGCGCCGTTTAAGTCGGACGAATGTACGCAACACCGCCGTCGAGCCCTGCGGCCCTGCATCGTCATTGTCAATGAGCCAGGGAACACGATACGAGTCAGACCCGTGCAGGCGCGAATGGGAGCACAGCAGCCCGAATGCCACCCACCGCTTGTAGATCCAGGGTGGCGGCGTACCCTCGAACCCGCCAATGTCGCAGGACCAGAAGCTGAAGCTCGACAGGCCGATTGAGAGACCTCCACGTACGGACTCGGCGAGAGCCGCGGGGGTAGATTCGCAGTCGCCCCCCCAACACTGTGAGTTGCGTTAGCACATAGATACAGAATCTGACGAGGTAATATAATGGTCCAAGTAGCAGGGTGCTTACCAAGGGGAAGCGCTGTACACCGGCACATGCGCTGCGGGCGAACAGGACGGCCTGTCCATCCCCGTACCTCCGCGTCAGGGCATTGTATACGATTTTGTTATAGATAAAAGCGTAGTAATTATGCATGCGCGCTGGGTCGACACTCTCATCATGCCACTTGACGCCCTTCGTCGGTATGCGCTCCCCAAAATCAGTCTTGATAGAATCAATGCCCACGTCAAACAACCGCTCCAGACAGCCTTCATACCACCTGACGGCCTCCGGGTTGGTGAAGTCAACGAGCCCCATGCCGGTCTGCCAGAGGTCCCACTGCCAGACATCACCGTTGGTGCGTTTGAGAAGATAGCCCTTTTCGGCAGCCTCCAGAAACACTGGAGAGGCCTGTCCTAGGTACGGGTTGATCCAAACACAGACCTTGTTGGTCAGACCCGCGTGCTTGATACGCGCGATGGAGCCCTTGGGGTCCGGGAAGTGATCAGGGGAGAAGACAAAATCACACCAGTGGAATGCGCGCATCCAGAAGGAGTCATAATGGAAGACCTCGACAGGAATCGAACGATCTGACATCTGCTGGAGGAAGTCGGTCACCGTCGCCTCGTCGTAGTTTGTTGTGAAGGATGTCGTCAACCACAGGCCAAAGGACCATGCGGGGACCATGGGTGCGCGGCCAGTCAAGACTGAGTATTTTGTCAAGACCTCCTTGGGCGATGGACCGTAGATAATATACCATTTGAGCCGCTGGCCCTCGACACTGGTCTGCACTCGGCAACATCTCTCACTACCTATCTCCAGGTCGACTTTTTCCGGAGTGTCGATAAAGACGCCGTAGCCCTTGGAGCTCATCCAAAAGCTGACATTCTTGTACGCCTGGTCCGAGCTGGTGCCGCCATCCTCGTTCCAGATCTCGACATGCTGACCCAGGCGGTTGAATGGCCCGAAGCGTTCACCGAGTCCGTGGACAGACTCGCCGATGTCAAGCTCAGTCTGCGTGAAGATGTAGTGCTTCCTGCTTCCGGACTGACCTTGCACGAGATTCTCAACCTGCTTCCCATTGCTGATCGGCGGGTCGTACGCCAGGCCAACGCTACGGTTGAGTAGACTGGTGATTTCCCGGTCGTAGTCGTCCGAAGAGTGAAAGCGGATCGAGAAATCGTGCTGGTCTGGACTGACAGTTACGCTCAGTGCGCCCGACTTCAGTGTAGTTCCTCTCTCGGACTTGGAGATGCCAATGCGCTCCTCACTGAGTTTGGGCCCCTCGCCATCTGGAAACAACTCGAAGTCAGGCGTACCTTTCCTGGCACCAAGCCAGTGTTGGACTTCCAGAGAGATTACACCGTCGAAGTGCGACTCGAGGTTGATGTGCAGGGTGCTGAGGTTCAGGGTGTTGCCGCGCGAGAAGATGTGGCGGGTCGGACAGAGCAGATTCAGCGAGCGGTTGTCAGGCGAAGCGTTGATAGAGTAGATATCCTCGGCATATTGAAGCGACTTGGAGGGGTCGACCAGCCACATTCCTGAAGTCTGTAGTTAGCACCTACTTCACTATACCCTTCAGTCGAGGATGATCTTTTGCTCAAGCTCCTCTGACAAGGTCCGCTACTCACCATCGCGGAACCGCATGTTTGCCGATTCAACTGTAATTTTCTTCTGGCGTCAGTGAGTGCAGAAGACCTTCAGACACGTATCAAATTATCCAGGCAATCGTGGTTAGCAAATGGAACTCACCTCTCGATGAAGGGGCCAGCTTTATAGCCCTGCCCGGGTAAATAGGCATTCTCATAACTCCGCATATTACATGATATCTCTTTACCCAGTTTAACGGATGTATCGTCGACCGATCCGGGGATTTAGGCTAGTGTGTCTGCCAAGAAACCGTATATATTAAAGCGGGGTGCCTCCCGGTTGGTTATATTGGGCATGGTCAGACGGAGTTCACAAGTGCTCCGACAGGCTCCAACCTGGTCCCCCCTCGACATTAGCCAGATAGACCACACCCAATCTGCCACCCACGCCATCACGCATCTTTTCGTATACCGAGCGGGGTCATGATCGAGCAAAAACATATCTTTGGCGACCAAATAGTCTTGTCCAATTCTGGCCGAAAGGGTGTGCTGTTCCTTGCAGTCATTATGGCTGGATCTGCACTATACTAGATAGCAGGTCTAATTGTAACAGGAGCTAGCAAGCCAATTAAAAATATTAGAAAGAGAAGAAAAAGAAGGAAAAAAAGAAAAATATGATAAAATAACCTGGCTGTGATGGCAAGCGACGTGACATAGCATATAATCTAGTATATAATATAGTTTTTACTTACTTTATAGATCATATATAATTTTATTTATTAATTTTATTTACTTTATCTTATTTATTTATTTTTATTATTTATATGTATTTTTTATAGTCCTTTTCTTTCTTCTCTCATATTAAAAATTCTAATTTAAATATATTAAATATAATTATCTAATTAGTTTTTATATAATATTAAATATTACAGCTAATTACTCTTTTTTTTAAATGATATTATAAATGGCTAGTTATCTAGCAGGATTATTAATATCTATTTAATATATATTTAATAATATCAAAACAGCTAAGATAAAATAATCTAAATGAATTTTTTAAAAAAATAAATAACTAATAATTCTTTTAAATTATAATAATTATAAAAAAGCCAGGCTAGCTTAGAGTAGCAAACAGCCAGGTCAGGTCAGGTTAATGGCAAGGTTTATACCTGCTGTCAGGTTAATAGTCAGGTTAACAGACATCTAATACCTGGCTATAATTAAATCTTAAAATAAGACAGTTAATTATCTTAATTATTCTTAATACTAAGTTCTATCTGCTATATTATCTTAGATTTTAATATAGATAGAATATATTTAGATTAATCTTCATTTTCTCTTTCTATTTATACTTTTATCAATAAATATATATACAATAAACACCTCGAAGATAGCAGATAATAAAAATAAAATAATTTCAATAAATTTAATTAAAATAATAGTTAAGACCAAGATCCAGATAATAAAAAATTATATAAATTAATAGTATTGTATTATTATAGTAAATATAAGAAATACCAGCTAAATCAGAATTATTTATTAAAGTAAGGCTAAATACTAGCTAGTTAAGATAACAGAAACCACGATTAGTACAGAAGTCTGAATATTTTATAATAAGTTATATTTAATTAAAATTAATAGTATCAACAGAACTGCAGTATTTAGTAAAAATAATAATATCTAGACAGAAACTACAGTAATTATTTATTGAAAAAATAAAATATTTATTTTTAAAAAATATATAATTTAATAAAAAAGAAAATACAAAGACATATAAATTAATAATTATTTATATAATTAAAAATAATAATATA